AAAACGATGCTGCCCAAAGCCGTTGCATCCGAGTGTAGTACAACATTTTTTAATATTTCTCCGGCCACATTAACGAGTAAGTGGCGTGGAGATAGCGAGAAACTTGTTCGTGTTCTTTTTGAGATGGCACGGCATTATGCCCCAAGTACCATTTTTATTGACGAAATAGAATCTCTATGCGGCCATCGTGGGGATGGGGGTGAACACGAGGCCTCACGACGTGCAAAAGGAACTTTGCTGACGCAAATGGATGGTGTAGGGGTTGACACCGGGAAAATAGTTATGGTTTTGGGTGCCACCAATCATCCATGGTCCATTGATGAAGCTATGCGGCGGCGTCTTGAGAAGCGTATATACATTCCTCTTCCGGACTTCAACGATCGGGTGGAGTTGTTTCGCATCAACACCAAATCACTCAAGCTGTCCCCGGACGTTGACTTCGAGCACCTGTCAAAGAAGCTTGAGGGCCGTCATTACAGTTGCGCCGATATTACAAATTTGGTGCGTGATGCGGCCATGATGACAATGCGACGTCTTATGGAAGAGATGGATAAATCCGAGCTCAAGCGACGGGCGGCGGAGATAAGCAAAACTGTCGCCGACCAACCAACCACAATGAATGATTTCTTAAGTGCGGTGAAGAATGTTCCCAGCAGCATTAACGTGGAACAAATTCAGAAGTTTGAAGCATGGAAAAGGGAATTTGAAACAAATCCGTAGAGGTCACGCACAGGAGTTCAGTCATTCACAGAGTTGTAGGCAAGCTGAGATGTATATGCATTGAAAGAAGTTATCAAATCATCATCAATGCCAAAATGAGTGAGGAATGAAACGGAAAAAAAAAAAATAAAGAAAAAAGAGGGGAGACTGGAAGGGAGGGTAAATCCCATTGAGGTGGCATGTAGGGATGTCTTGGACACTCTCTTCCTTCAAGAGAGAAGCACACGTATATTAATTGCGGTACTTAATGCTGCCTCTCTTTCTCTTCTTTTCTTTTTTTTTCTCTGTTTGGTTCTTTAGAAGGAAAAAAAAAGAAGAAATATAAAAAGAGAGCACCCTATGTCTGGCTTTCGTGGTGCGGGGCGTCTGGAGGACGATGGGAAGGAAAACCGGAAGCGCGTACAGAGGAGCGAGCCGGCCTGTGGAGGTTTGGTTGGTTGGCAAATTGCCTCAAAGAGTCGCTGTCTCGCGTGCGGGCGACTTGCGTCAATGTGTGATTGCCAGAAGTCAAGGATAGATCCCCAACTCAAGCGGCAAAAGCTTGAGAGCATTCTCCTTAGCACTCCGTACGTTCGCTCCAAGCAGGTTAGAGCACTAGAAGACATTTCCCGTGAGGAGTCCAAGAATCGTCGTCGTCTGGTGGAGCGATGGGGTGATGATTTGGAGTCGATGAGGCATCTGGCCTTTACACACCACCGTATTCTTCTTTTGATCCTTGAAGAGACAGCCGGTCGTGAGGCTTTGATGGCTATGGAGCGAAAGGCATGGTCGGAGGGGATGGTTACTGTGGATCGACACATTGTTTTGTGCGCCATTTCTTTTCATGAGCGGGAGGAAAGACTGCAGTTGTATGCCTCAGCGCAAAGGGAGGTGCAGGTGGTCTTGGCGTGGCATGAAGTAACGTGTCATCTTCTTGGCTTACGAAGTCGCGAGGCGGCATTTCGCAACGCTCTTGTAAACCACGAGGCGGCGACCAGAGCGGCACTAATAAGCCACAATGTGGAGCTTTTAAATCGCATGGACGCCAATGAGAAGGATCGCTTTGTTTTCTATGAGGCATTTAGGGAAAGGCGGGATAAACTCGTTGTGGAGTGGCAGGGAGGCGTGGAGGCGATTCAGAGCGCCATTGCGGCAGATCAGCGACAGGTGGAGTGGATGCTGCAGGGGAGAAATCAGTTGTGCAAGCTGTGTGAAAGACAGAGGGCCGAGTTGAAGGCAGAAGAAGAGGAGTGTAGGCAACGCATGTCTGAAATTGCGCGTAAAAAACAACATGCCTTAATGGAGAGGGTACAAGTGTGTGAACAGCAGCGATGCACTTTGGCTCAGCAGGAAGTGAACAGCCGCTCTGCCATTCTTCAAGATGAGGCAGCCGCATGCAAGGCGTTATGGTTGTTTTTTAAGGACGGTGAAAGAGAGGCTCGTGAGCAGGAGCAATTGAGGTACGAACGTTGCGGGGTGGAGCTTCGCGCGGCCATCCATCAGTTAAGGAGCATCGCTGGGGAGGAGGCCGCCGCTTTTGCTCAGCTCAAGGCACAGGAGCATCACGAGAAGGACCTGCGCTACAAGTGGATGCTTGAGAAGGAGAAGCAGCGCAAAGAGCTGGAGCAGGCTGCCCTTCACCATTTGCGGTTAATCGAGGAGGAGGAGGGAATGGCTCGACAGGCATCCATGAAGGCTATGCAGGAGGCGGAAGTGGGGATTGCAGTGTGGCTTCAACAGAAGACGCGGACCCTACGGGAGCTGGTGGACACTGCACTCGGTCAGAAGGGGGAAATGCGTTTGCGGGAACATGAAGAGCGCTTTGCGTTGGTGTCGCGTAAGGCGGAGCATGAAGACGCCGTACGTCGATGGATCGATCAAAAGGAATTTGCGCGGCAGTCTCTCATAAAAGAGGAGACTACACATCGTATGAATACGGTAGAAATGGAGCGCGCTGCGCGAGATGAATTCCGTTGGCACTTTGACTCAGCTTTGGAAATGTGCCGAAGTTTCATTTATGAACGGATTACTGAACAGAACATATTTCAACAGAAGGCTCTGCAGGTGTTAAATGATATTGTGGAGCAGGAAGCCAAGGCGATGCTTCTTATGAGGCGCCTCATTTTCGATGACAGGGAAAGGGCCCGTCACGAAGAGAACCATCGGCAATTTCTTGAAATCTGGAATGCTGAGGCGGAGTGCCGTACGTACATTGTACAGCAAGAAGTCCGCCACCGTGAGAGCATCTCCACACAGATGCATCTTCAAAGAAGCTTTTTTGCAAAGGAGGCACAGGAACTCCTCAAGGCGCGAATTTGCGAGGTTTTGGCGACAGAAGAAAGCCAACGTCTTGTGCTTTTGCATCATTTCTCTGAGACTACAGAGCAGATTTATTTTTCATTTCGACAATCCCGGGAAGAGGCAAGACGGTCTGAGAAGGAGCGTGTGCTTGCGGAGCTGCGTCAGCGCGAAACGGAGTTACTGGAGGACACACGTCTGTATCGCGAGGATGAATGGCTCACCTTTGATCACACAGAGAACAGATTGTCAGAGCCTCAGGAATCATCTGCATTCCCTTTGGTGGATGATGGCTTGTGGAATACGCAGCGACAGCTTGTCATGGCCGAGCTTGGCGGGGAGGAAGCGGATGTCATGACGCTTCCCCCGGCAGCAGTGGGGTTTCTGGCCAGCATCATTGACGCTATCTCCAGGCGGGAGTCGTCGCTCACGGCAACGCTGCGTCAAGTGGAGGTGGCGGTCAATGAGGCAAGACAGAAGGTGGCAAACCAAAATCAGTTGCTCTCCGGCGTGAAGGAACGATGGGAGGAGTCGAAGGAAAAACTGAAACGTGATGCCGCCGAGCACAACACACGTGTGGCGATGTACCGCGACGCACGACAGAGGGATGAGGCGCAGTTGGAGCGGGAACGCGCGAGGCTTCAAACCAAAACCGAGGAACTGCGTAGGATGCAGAACAGCGTCTCTGGCATGCGAGATGCTATTCACAATCAATACCGGAAACGATAGAGCAAAAAAAAAAAAAGGAAAAAAGAAAAATAAATAAGAAGAAACGGACTGAGTGTGAGGGAAAGAGGGAAATACCGAAAAAGAGAAAGGGGAGAAGAAGGGCTTGGAATGTGGGCTGTACTGGGGGGGGGGGGGGGGAATGGTGACATCATTGTGTTTTGACTTTTCTCTTCTTCCAACCTTACATGGATGATCACAAGTGATGCCCAGTTTTTTTCTTTTTCTTGTTCTCTCTATCCCTCTCTGTTTTTGTATTCATGTTGCCTTGAATAGATGCATTTTGTTATTGTAGATTCGCTTTACATTTGTGTGTGTGTGTATGCATTTCCGTGGGGGAGTTGCTTAGTATCTTTTTATTATTTTCTCGGCCCCGTCTGTTCTGTTTGTAACGGAATATGTCATCATTTGACTGCACCTTCTACGCTAGAAGTAAGATCCTTCACGGTACGCTTCCGTATATGTGTGCATGGCATATCCATGGTCGTTACTGTCGGGTGGGTGCGTGTTTTTGTGTTTCTTAGCATGAGCACACCACGCCCCAGACACACGCGGCGTTGGAGAGATTCCTGCTGAAGAGCTTTTTGTTTTTGACAACCATCTTATTGTTTTATTGCTTCTTCTTGTTTGTTTCTTTGTTTGTAGGGTGTTGTGCATGTGAGTTTGCCGGAGGTGAGGCAGGCTGCTCTTTCTTTTTTAGGGCAAAAGGAATAGGGCGCAGCACGGGGAGGTACCATGGAGGAGGAGATTGCGGTGGTGCAGCTTCTGCAGTACGGGCTGCCAGTTACGCGGTCCGCGTCTTTTGCCAGTTTTAATTCAGCCGCACTGTATGAGCTGCTTACTGCGGCACTGACACGATTTTTCAGTACGAATGGGGAGGAAGACCAAAAACAAACGCCGCCTTCTTTTGAGGGGGCCGAGAACGCAACCAGCCGCCTTCGTCTTTTGAGCATGTTGGCAACACGCCTACAGCGTGCAGGCTGTGAATTTATTTCTCCCGACCACTTGATGTACCCGGCGGAGAAGACAACAAGGAAGATTCTCATGTGGCTCATCGCCGAGTTGCACCGCGTGACTACAACCAGTAGCGTCAAGGACGACGTCAAATTGCAACAAACGCCCGTGGGGCAAGCAATTCTTTCGCTCCACTCGGTAGTGCAGCAACATAATCCATGTGTTAAGAAGAAAGACACCAAAGAATCCCTTCCGCGGTGTGAATGTGTCATTCCTGCCGTACCCGCTTTTTTCTTTGCCGTAAGCGCTCAGGAACGACGAAAGGGTGGAGTGCAGCCTCCGTTGTGGCAACAATTTTGCCAGGGCTACGATGCCATGCAGGGATTTCCCCGTTCACCTGAAGAAGCGCCGTATCAGCCGCAGTGGAGGGAGGTGCTTCTGAATTCCTTTCAGGAGGCGAACGCGGTGGAGCGCACATTTGAAAGTGAGCCGACAAGTAACCGTGCATCGGGACCGTTGATGCTGCGGGACGCGAGTGGTGTGGAAAATTTTATCAAATTGCCACGGGCATCGCGAAAGCGTCCTCATAAGAAAACATCAGCATTGGCTTCTCTGCAGCCATTGAGGGCGTATGCTCTTGACGCCGATGTTTTTTATTTTAACACTTCCGAGGATGACATCAGCGTACAACACACTACAAGTAAAACGGCGGCTGCTCGCGAGACTGCGTTGGAAATGGCTGAAGATCACCATGACACATTAACGAGGCAAGATGTTTACGCCCCAAAGGAAAAGCATGAAATCCTACGTGAATACTCAGAGGCAAAGAAGGAGCTTCGACATCTCAAGAAGAAACTCACGGAACTTGCGGCTCAGAAAATGGGGTGCGACGAAGAGCTGGAGATGCTACAGGTCAGCTATGGGCAAATCTGCGGCGAGCGTGAGCGCCAGAAGGCGGAAACCGAGCGAATTGCACAGGCTCTAGCGTTGCTGGATACTCCAGAGGAAAGCGAGGTGCAGCTGGAACGGCAGGTTGCTGAATT